ACCCCGGTAGTCTGGGTTCAGAGAGAGGGTGAGTTAGATGCCCAGCAGACCAGGCATGGAGAGTGGGAGCCACAGAGGCCATGCTGCTCCACTCTGGGGCTCTCCCAGGACCAAGCAGGAGGCTGTGCATTTTGGATGCAGGACTTACACAATGCTTTGCTGAAATGGATTCCTCAGGCCTGAATAAAAGGGCCTTTTGGAAACTCCCTTCCAAGCCTATCTTCTAAGGTCCTGCCTGTCCTGAACCCTTGGCAATATGTCTTATAACATCTTGCCCCCCTGCAGTTTATTCTCCTCCTGGCAACCAGAATGATCCTTTTAAAACCAAGGCATATCATGTCACTCCTCTGCTCAAAATCCCCGGTGGCTCCCCATCTCACACAGGGTAAAAGCCAAAGTCCTGACAAAAGTCTCCAAGGCCATATGCAGACACATCGGCCTCCTTGCAGTTGCTCCAGGAAAGCTCCTGCCCCAGGGCCTTTGCACCTATTGTTCCCTCGGCCTGGAATGCACTTCCCCCAAATGATTGCTTGGCTCAGTCCCTCATTTCCTTCAAATCCTTGTTCAAATGTCACTTTCTTGCTGATGCAATACTCCTCCTGACTCTCCCAACCCCCCTCCCTGCTTTCCCCCTACAGCACTTTTTACCAAATGCCATACAATGTGTTTTCAGTATTTATTATGTCTCCTCCACTCCCATGAGAACATCAGCTCCACAAGACCAGGGATCTCTGTTTTGCTCACCACTGTATTCCCAGAACCTCGGTCAGACCCTAGCACTTAGCAGGCACTCAGTAAGTGTTTGTGGAATGAATGAATGAGACTTGGTCTTATCATCTTCTCCCCCACCCCAATGTCCCTGTCTAGAAGATCCTGATCACTTGTTAGGGCAACTGGTACACCTGGTGAACAAGTGAGTCCCTCGGCTGCTTCTCTCCCTGGCTGTCTTATCTCCAGATGAAAGGGTTGGACCAGATTATCTACAGAGTCCTTCCAGCTCTGAAAACCTTCAACTGACAAAAAAAAAGGGCATACTTCTTCCTTACAGCAAGCCTGTAGCTGCATTTACTTGATTATGAAAACTGCATTTCCTTTAGAATTTTCCACAGTTAAGGCCCCGCAGCCTCCACGCTTCTTAAAATAAGTGACGTTTGGCTGCAGCTGTGCTACGTGATCTGTAACCTGCACACTAGGTTAGCATTAACCTCAAGTGCTGGGATCACTGGTCTTGTAAAATCGATCCAGGCTGGGTTACAGGGAAGTAAACCAAACCACAGTTAGTTGTTTCCTAAGATCAGAAACACCACCTCTCCTTGTCCCCCTCAATTTGACACTCATTCCTTAGCAGCCCAGGCTGTTGGTTTTGGGGTTTAGCCAGAGGCCCTCTGGAGAAGGAACAAAATTAGGTGTTCCGGGCCAAAAGGAAGGCGCTGGGACGAAAGCAGACCCTGGTGTGATAACACAGCATGCGCGGCACAGCTGGGAGCAGGGAGCGGAGGTCAGAGGGTCACAGGTCCCTCAAGGTCAGTCCCAACCAGGGCCATCCAGCCTAACTGACTTCAGGGAGCCTCGGGTCTTTGTCTGCCCATCTGAAACAGGAACTGCATGAGTCTAATGTTCCATCAAGTATCTACAACTCTAAACCCCACCTGGCCAGTCTAACCCAAGGCCGGGGTCAAATTCACCAGTGGCGTCAGCTAAGGACTATGTTAACGTTCTCCGGACAAATGTCCAGAGACGTTTGGAATGCAGCATTTCTCACACTGAATGCTGGGTCGCTCCACAATAATGCTGCTTTGGTCCTTCAAAGATGCTCTGTTAGGTTTAAGGACAGAATCGGTATAAACTCACTTGTGAGCTCCTTTGGAGGTCCTGCCTTTTGGACGAGCCCCCAGCCTATGGCCCAGCCCTGGTCCCCTAACAGGCTCCTCTAACCTCTGTAAACTGATCACTTCCTACGGGGAAGCAGGAGGGCACAGCGGTGAGGCACCTGCATCAGAGGAGTCAGACCTGGGCAGCCATCCTGGCTGTGGAGCTCACTTCCAACTGGGCAGCCTGATGCCTGTATACCTCTCTGGGCCTCAGCTTCCTGAGAGGTAAAGTGGGAATCATAAGCGCATCCTTCACAGAGCTGTGATAAAGATTACATCAATTAATAAATGTAAATCACTTAGCTCAGAGCCTGACTAAATGGTAGTTGTTATTATTATTATTAGAAATGTTTTCTTTATATCTCAAGTCACACACTGAGGTCTGGGCTGGCCCTTCCTGGTGTATATCCTGGCACTGTGGTAATAACATGGGGCCCCAACACTGAGTATATGCAAACCTAGGTTAAACAGGGAGAGCAAAGAGATGGCACACATGCCACCTCCCGCCTCCCCTGACCGGGGCAAGCATCTCTAATCTATCGCAGCACTCTTCTCCCTCTCACTACAGCCTTGGGCTGATAAGATTCAAAACAGAGCTTCAGGCACCTATGAGCACTGTGGGGAAACCCGCCTGCTGTCCTCTGATCACGAGGCAGAGATGCTGGTATGGGAGAGATTCATGCCTTGGAGAGTGAGGGCAAGGACCACATCCACATACAAGTTACGAGGAGTGAAGGGAAATCTGTCTCCATTCACTGCTGCAGACCCAGCACTTTGAACAGTGCCTGCCACACAGCAGATGCTCAAATATCTGCCGGATGAGTAAATTAGCATCTAATCCACCTGAGTCCACAGCACAGAGCACTGGGCCTAACCTAGCAGGTGCTCAATGAACACGAGAGGGCAGTGGGGGAGGCTGGCTAGACCCTCACTTGAGTACAGCATCACCGTGTAGAGAAAGCACTGGCTTAGGCAGGGCCAAGGCCTGACACTGCCACTCACTCAGCACATGACCCTGAGCAGGGCCTTTCTTCACCATGTGTAATGAAGGGGGTTGGGAGCGGGGAGGGGAACCTGACAAAGCCCAAGGCCCCTTCCAGTCCTGACATTCAGATCCAGAGAACTCTTCCAGGCACTGCCAGTCTAGGGATTCCCACTGCCCCGCAGGCCATAGCCTCATACACTGTTCTTACACAAGATTCCACTACCAGGGGCCCAGGAGAGAAACACAAAGGATCTGGGCAACTGCTGGCCACGTGAGTCACTGTCCAGTTCCCAGGCCCAAGCCCAGCCGTGCAGCCCTCCACTCCAGCCCACACTCCTGACTCCTACATCATGCATCTTCTCCCATCTCACTCACTGTACCTATCCCATAAGCACTCACTGAGCACCGGCTGGAGGTCAGCCCACAGCAGTGAACAGGACAGACGTGGCCTCCGCCTCTGGAGCTGGCAGTCAAGAGGCAGAGAAAAGTACACAAATACGTGGAATAGTTGAAGAGCATAAACTGGCCACGAGGGACACAGGCAGGGTCAGAGGGGGTCAGAAAAGGCTTCTCAGAGGGGAGGATGGAATTGAGACCTGAAGGATCAAAGGGCACGAATCATGGGAAGATCATGGAAAAGAACATCCCAGGCAAAGGAACAGCAGCTGCAAAGGCTCTCAGGCCAGGGGTTGGCAAACTACGACCACTTGTGTATTTACGTATTATCTATGGCTGCTTTCGAATTACACTGGCAGAGCTGAGAAGCTGCCACAGAGACCTATGGCCTGTGAAGTGTAAAATACTTTCCGTCTGACCCTTTCTAGGTAAAAATGGGCGACCCCTGGTTTACAGTGTTAGATAAATAAGAGAAGGTCAGGGTAGCTAAAACAGACTGAGCAAGGGGGGGACATACGAGGAGACTGGGGAGGTGGGTAGAAGCCAGGCCATGATGGCTTGGGTGGGACACACTGACCTCCAGCCTGGTATCTCCTGCAAACGGGGACCATAGTGATCTCCCTGAAACACAGGGCTGAACACCTTACTCTTCTGCGCTCTTGGTTTCCCAAAGCACATTGCACAGAACACTGGCTCCATGGGATAAACCTCAATAAAATCGTTCCGTAGTCTGTCTGTCTGTCTCTCTCTCTCTCTCTCTCTCAGATGCTATCAAGCAAACACACCAGCACATGAAATGCTTGGAAAAGTTCCACAGCAAAGAAATCTGTTGACTTTGTTTAACTCACCATCCTTCAAATTTATTTGGCCATAGAACCCCATTAACATTTGAAGAACTAGTGTTCCATGTGCTAAAGGGCAAACGCCTCTGCTTGGCACACCCAGCTCCAGTAGGTAACCCCAGAGCCTGTTCTAGATTTTGAGGGTGTGGCCTGGGGAGCCGTCTCTCTAGTCTGTCCCTTGCCTTCTTCTTGCCTCCAATGCCCTAAATAAAGGTCATCTGGCCACTGCAGCTCTGCTCTACCAAACGAACTGCAGCAGGAACACTAACATTTACACCAAGTTAAGTGTCTGCCTGCGCCCCCGGTGGTGGATGTCTACTACATGGGCCTGTCCAGCATCGCCTTCCCCCATCTTTGGTAACGACAGCCCAGCTCTCCTTTGGGGACCACCTCTCCCCCATCTCCTGCCAGCTCCAAGGGTGAGGTCTGGCCAAGCAGAATATTCCATCCTCCTGCTTTGGAGGGATGGGTTCAGGATACGAGCGCAGGACCCAAGCAGTATCGATGAATTCCAGACTAGGATGGGCGTCCCTGGAGTTCACAATGCAGCAGCCGAGATACGGGATTCAAGCCCAGGTCCTTCTGCCCAGCCTTGCACTTCACCCTAAGTCTCCCCCAACTTGAGCGGCCAAGGCCAGTTCAGCACTGAGTCATCCTTAGATTCCAGTTACAGGTACCCGGAGAGGGCACCAGGGGGGCTGGAAAGTGCTACCCACAACCTCATATCCTCCAGGCAAGTATGGATACTTCTCAACAAACGGAGCTGGCCTGGACCATTCATCCTTTCAGGTGGAAGGTGATGACCACAGAGAGGTAGCTGTTAGTCATGAAACCAGGGCGAAGAAGACGGCGGCGGGGGGGGGGGGGGGGGGGGGTGCAGTAGGCAGCAGGGGAGGCGGAGCATACCTGCTTGCCGTACTTTTCCTTCCAGCTGCACTGGCTCCGTCAGCCTGCAAAAGAAACCCAGAACACCTAAATCAGCCAAGAGGAAAACACAGATTCTACCCACTGCACCCTACCAAGCTCCCGCTCAAACATCAGCCTTCAGAGGGGGTGAGCCAGCCACAACGCCCTACTCCATTCTTCCAGGCTAGAATTCTGCCCCCAGTGGTAAGAGGGAGTTAGGACAGCCAACCCCCCCACCCCAATTTGCTTGGCCCTTTAAATCCAACTGAGCACCCACTGCCAACACAAACCCAGCAACCACAGAGCCCTGGGGACTCAGTGAAAAGTAAGTAACCAACTAAATCTGAGATTGAATTGCACCATTTTCATTTTCAGCTGGGATTTCCAGTGAAACAGTAGCTGAAGATTTATTCCTACCAACTGGAGGGGGAAAATCCTATTATGTTAAAATAGTCTGTCCCCCAACCCTGCAAGCAGGATGAGGCAAGAGAGCACATAATCTCTTTTATTTGGGGCTGGGTGATGGGAAGATAAGGCTGACCAAATGGAATTTTCAGAAATCATAACATTTTGGTTCAGATGGAGAGACTGAGGCCCTGGGAGAGGAGGGAGCTGCCTGCTGTCTCATGAGGACTGCGTGAAAAATACCCGGGGATCCTGACTCCTAGGCCAGTGCTGGGGGGACCTCGATGAGGAGGCCAAGGACATGGAAAAAACGCCTGGGTTCTCCACCACCCCTGGTTGCAGATGCATTCCCCAGCTTTGTCAAAACGTTAATAATAATGGTAATCACAGTTAGAATAATGCAGGTTCAAGACTCTCGCGTACATGTGTTTCCAAATTCAGAACCTTTCCAATTTTAGAAAGGCAATGTGGCGCATGTGTTCTCTATTTTGAAATAACCCTGGCAGGGTCTGGGGAGGCCCTGGTACTCAAGCACGTTTATATTTCTATAGTAAAACGTATGCAGTCAGCCCTAAGTGGGCTAAACGAAACCGGACACTAGCCTCTTCCCCCTTCAGGTCAAGTTCTGCCGCCTAACCAGTTACAAGACATCTTTTTGTTTTCAAGCTTTTCGAACTTCAGGATTGCAGATGAAGGATTGAGGACCTACAACAAAAACAGCGGCAGCTACCTTTGGACGAGTGCTTTCGAGAAGCTGCAAGCTGGCAAACCCAGATGGCGGACTTCAATTTAAACAGTCAGTATATCAAAATAAAGGCATTTCACCCCCAAGAAAGCCAGATTTCAGCTTCTGAAAGCAACACGTAGTCCCACACGACTGGTCAGCTAAAGTTGACATACCTGGTTCACCACAGTCCCCATCACCCACTCTTGCCTACTTCCCACCCCACGGCCTGGCCCCTGCGGGTACCCCAGACTCGCTCCCTGGGCTAACTTCCCACCCGGCGCTAGTGTGTGGGCATTCAACACCTCTCACCGAATCCTCTTGATGGGTTCCCCAACACACATACACAATAGTCCCGTTTAAGTATTTCAGGCATTTATCCAACATCCCACGGCTATAAGCCCAGGTCTGGGTCAACTCCAATGCCCACCTTCCTCAGCTCTGGAATATTCTATCTCCCTCCAACACTCAGGAGGGACAATCGGGAAATGGGGTGAACACACACAGCCTCCACTGCCCACACGAGGGAAATGGAAAGGTGAAGGACAAACAGGGAGGTAGAAACGTGAGGCCTGGGAGGGAGCAGTTAATGGGATGCCAGTGAATTATTTCCATGGAGGAAACAAGAAAGCGGAAAATGGTTTGCAAATCATTTCACTGGGAGCAAAAGAACACGATCAATTACAGCCTCTTTCCAACATCTTGCATTCGTCAAACTTGTATGGAAAGCGAACGGGAAGAAGTTGTTCTAATGCTCATATCAGAAGAGGCAGAAGTGGTAGAGGTGGAAATTCTATCCCAGAGAGCTTAAAAAAACTGTAAAATCCCCAATGATCTCTAGCCTTTCAAATTTCAAACTGAACTCCAGGCATGTATTTCTAGAATTTTATACATTCTTTTAATGTTGTTTTAATGCTTTTTTTTTTGTCCTTTTCCTTCACAATTTCACAGAGTTGACCAGTTCAAGCGTACTGAACATGGGACTGGGTAGGGGAGAAGAGTCTCTCTTTTAGGCACATCTGACCATCTCCACCCATTTTTCCCTTTCACTATGTTTATGATATTTGAGCTTCTTATCACTGGTAGCTACATGCATTTTTGTTTTCCACCCATTTTTATAAAACAGACAAAATGCTGAAAATTTTCAAAGAGCTGTCCAAACAAATCCTTTCGTAGAAGCCTAGATGGTACAACTGGGGAAATGAGATGGCTGGAGGGAAGAGTTCATCCCTGCAGGGTGGGAAATGTCCGTTTATTGGCAGAGATGAGAAGCAGATATGGGAAGGGGGGTAGAGATGGACAATGTGCACAAGTGAGAGATGCCCAAGAGAGCACGTGTCAATATCACAGCACCTGTCAATCTCAGCCTTCGGGCCTGGCTGAGTCCAGTCCCACCGTAACAACAGGGTACAGCCTCTCGGGCCCCCCCAGCCACAGTGCTGAGGACACCCATTCTCATTGTAGAGATCCCTAAGGTGCCAGGCCGGCTTTGTCTGTGTCCTCACAAATATCTCAGAGCAAGCCCTATGTTTGAATTAAGTTGACTTTGCCATTTTCCTAGGCCCAAATGGTCTACTACCAGCAATTTCATGCAATTCATCCCAAACCACAAACTCACCTTTACCCAGTGTAATCTGATCTGATTCTCAATTTAAACCAAAGTTCAAGAGCACAGGGCTTAGAGTCAGACAAGTCTGAGTTCAAGTCCTGGGTCTGCCATTTTCAAGCTATATAATCCTTGGCAGTTCATCTGCACTCTCTAGGCCTCAGTTCCTTCATCTGCAAAATGGCAATATGCCAACTGGGCCCAAGAAAACGAGGCACAGAAAAACAGAGTGACTTGTACAAGATTACACAGCAGACGAGCAAGAGGCAGAGCCAGGCCTGGACTGAGCCAGGCGTCTTTCCTGCCTGTCTCCAGGCCTGATCTGAATCCCGGGCTGCAAGTCAGAAGGTCTACCAGACCCCAGAGCCCTGAGGCCTTCTCCAAAGGGCTGGTCAGAATGATACTGAATGCAGCTATGTAGGTAAACTACTAAGCACAGGCCAGGGATGTGCAGTAACCACTGAAGTAATGGAAACTCTATTGCTGTTGCCACTGGACCATGTGCTCCTAAAGAGGCAGCTTCTGCCTGGCTCTGTCTGGGTCTCACTTTGAACCTTGGGCAAGCTCTTTCCTCTCCCTGGACCTGAGGTTCTCATAGGTAAAAACAGGCACGGGAGGCACGAGAGTTCAATCCGATCATCTCCCCCTCCTTTTCATCTCTGATACTCTATGTGGAGCTGACCCAACCTTAACCAAACCCCTCAAGGGTAAATGAAATATGGTGCGGGAAGTGTACTCATGAGAGGTCCTCTTCCTCACTTTCACATAGCTGGGGGTAAAGGTATCCAAGCCCCCCCCTCACCCCGCCCCCACTCCCCATAAGGGCACCTGCTTCCCCTCCCAGCCCCATCCATTCCTAACACACCAGCTTCTTCTCAGGACCTGGGCAAGGCTATTTTTAGTTTCATTCGACCCTCCTCTTCCCTCCCAAATGAACGTTAAGTTGTTCTTTTCCATTCTCTTATTAAGGATTTTCTTGGAAAGAAAATATTATTCCAAACCCAGAAATTTTATTTCTAAATTTGTGCAAATGTAAGTTGTAAGACATTAGCTGCATTTCACATTTTGTGCAAATGGCAGAAACAGGCAATTCGTGTGCTACGGGATGGGGGCTGGCCAACGATTTCGATAAAATAAACCCTTTTTTAATTTAAATGCTAATGCACTGAATTAAAATTTAATAACTGAGGAAATTGAAAAGCCGAGCAGGAATATTGGAAATAAATCCAAGCAGAAACAGCTGAAATTAAAAATTCTAGAGAGTGGGAGGATAGCAGCTAAGCTGTCTTATATGATTACATTTTTTTTCAGAATGAAGCAAAAAAAAAAAAAAAAATCCTATCTCTCGCTGGCTCTAGGGCAGTAAATCCGCAGTGCTGTGATTTATTGCTCAATTTTCCTGAGGGAAAAAGGCTTTCTTTCATGCTGAAATATTTCATAAATTTCAAGCCAGCATAAATTCTTAATTTAAAAGTTATGGAGGTCACATTTAGTGCACTGGTACTGTTCCAAAATCTTAAAGGAATAGCAGCGACCGAAAAAAAAAAAAAAGCAAAAAGGAGGGGTAGAATTTGCTCCTTTTTTTTTTTTTCCTTTTTTCATTTTGGTTTTAATTTGTGAGTTGAAATTTCATTATTAAAGATTCTTCCTGGATGGATGGAACCCAAGCAAGCACATGGGGAACTGGTGTGTGCTTGGAAATCTGCTGCAAAAGATGAAGAGATAAAGACTTAATTCAATTATAAAAAGGCATTTTTTTTTTTTAAAGCCACTTGAGGAATTTCTGGTAAAAATTTCCTTCCTTCATTGCCCGGGAAGGGGTGAGAGTGGGGGAGGGTGGCCAATGTAATTGCTTCTCTTAGATCGCCAATCTTTTGTGCACACTGATATATTCATTTGTTATACAGCTGTTCAGCGGCGGAAAGAATGCTGGGACGCCCATAATTCTAAGCAAATCAATCAAAAATTAATGATTTGTCATGCTTGCACAATGGAGGAAAACAGCTCCTTGGGTCCTGGCTGCCTGATCTCGAAGAATGAAATGCCTTTCTGCGATAAGAGAGCGGAGCCAGAGGCTCAGGGAGGCCGAGGGGCCACTGCAAATGTGAGGGCTCATGGACCCGGAGCTCTGAGAGGGTGGAGTGGGCATCTCCAAGATGGTGCATCAGCTAGTCAAGCCAAGGATGGACTTGAGGCAGCACATTTCCGTGGTGGTATAATTAGGATCTTGCCTTTTCCCTCCCCCACTGCAACACAAACATTGCTTCCTCTCTGGAGACTTCCAACGACTCCCCCTCCCCCCAGCAGAT